CAAGTCAGCAAGTATAGCACACAGCATGTCGTGCCACTCACGGGACGCCTGTCGCAAGCTGTAGACAGGGCGCCGGAGGAGCCACTCGGTGCCAGAGGGGGAAGGTACCGGAGAAGCCCTGGGGGCGGCGCATGTAGACCTGCTCATGTAGACTGCCCTGGAGGAAAGCTGTGGAGAAGTCGAGGGAGTGCAGCTCGTAGTCACACTGTGCTGCTACGTATAGCAGCGCCCGAAGAGTGGTCATCTTCGGGGTCGGAGCGAAGGTCTGAAAGAAGTCTACCCCCTCACGCTGACTGAAGCCTTGAGCAACGTAGCACACCTTGAAGACAGGCGGTTCTCCAAGAGGGCGCTTCACCTTGAAGAGCCATCGGCCATCGACTACGTTCACCCCAGGTGGGGGAACTGCGTCGACGAAGGTACCGGTGGATCTCCAAGATGCCATCCTGGTCCATGGAAGCTATCCACTGAGAGGCGCAGGGTCTCGAGGTGGCCTCAGCGTAGGTGCGAGGGGTCGGGATGTCGAGGGCGTCTGGGTCACCCTCAGAGACTAGTAGCATGGAACAGAGATGGGGAGCGGCCTCAGACAGGAAAGCGAGCTCAAACTGCCTGTCCTCTAGGACGTCACTGCCAAGAGCAGCCACACCCCCGACGGTCGGACAGCAGGCAGGGTCAGAGTCCAGAGCGGTGGCGTAGTCCAGGCGGCGAGTAGCAGCGAAGTCAGTGACAGCAACGACAAGAGCCGACAGACTCGAGACAGGAACGGACGGGTCGGTAACGAGAGAGGCAAGGACACGAGGAACAAGGGGACGTGCAGCACGGAGGAAGTCCGAGAACGGAGGCGGGGCCACAGCAAGCGACGATGGAGGAGGGGACGGGAGGAGAGGAGGAGCATGAGACGTGTGAGAACAAAGTAACATAGGGTGAGAATGCGGAGCAGGGGAGGTAGGACGAGCACAAGATGGACGACGAGACCAGACGTGAGACGGAGGAGTCGGGTCAGGAGAGAGGGGGGGAGTCACAGGAGGGGAACGAGGAGGGAAACGAGCTGGAGAAGAGTCCGGGGGAGGAAACACGGGGCTGTGGACCGGCAGAGGAGGAGGCGGCGGCAGGCGGTCAGGGGAAGGGAGACCGAGGAGGCGAAGAGCGGACACCGGCGGCGACAGCTGCGACTGTTGCCCGACTCCAACACCAGAACCTCCAGCGACAACATGGCTCCCTCCGAGAAGCCCCACTCCAGCACCCCCAGAGCCCGCTCCAGAACCAGCTCCAGCCCGCTCCACAGCACCCCCAGAACGCACAAACCCTAGCGACGGTGACGACATCGGCTGTGGCTACGGCGGCAGCGGCGGAGGCGGCTGCGGCGGGGACAGCAGCGGCGGCGACAGGGGAGGCGAGACCGGGGCAGGGACAGGCGGGGGAAGAGACTCCACCGAGCTGCGAGAGTCAGCGGACTCCTCAGCAGGGACAACCGACGAGAGGGGGGTTACATGAGACACACCAGACGGGGCAGGGTGGGGAGGGGGGAGGACAGGGTCGACCGGGGGAGGGGTGCAGCAGGAACTGGGGGGGAGTGACCAGGGGACCACGGTGGGTAAAGCGGTGGTAGAAGGAGACGGACTCGTCAAAAGTGACGTCACGAGATTAAATGAACCGGTGAGAAGGAGGGTGGTAGAATTGCTAGTCTGACAAGTCAAGGGGGAAACCTAGGAAGACACAGGGGGCCGTGCGGGCAGTGAGCTTGTCCGTGCCGGAGACACGAACGTGAGCAAGGCAGCCCCAGACGTGGAACCTTCGAAACCTGCGACCGCTAAGGGTGCGGCAAGAGGTTAAGCTGGTGAGCGGCGTAGCGAACGGTGAATGGCCACAGAAAGTGGGGTGCACCGGCATGGATTATGGAGGAATGAGCCACCTCTATGACCAGACTAATGCGTCGCTTAGCGACCCCATTCTACTGCAGGGAGTCCGGCAGGGTGAATGTCTCGGTGATGCGCTCCGCACAAAAGAAGCGACCAAGGCAGCCAGAGGCAACCTCGCCACCACGGTCAAAGTGAAGATGCAAGACAGGGAGGCCTCAGTGAACACGCGCAGAGACAAGCCACGGGATAAGAACTTCAGGTACGTCGGCCTTCCGCTCCAGGGGAAACACGGTGGTGTAGCGGGTGTAGTCATAGACAAGCACTAGGAAGTAGCGCTCGCGATGCGGCCCATGGACGGGGGTGGGGCCCCAAACGTCCATGTGCAGGGTCTGCAGTGCTGCGGAGGTAGGGGGGAATGAGGAGGAGTGAGGGGCACGGCGGAGCCGGCCCTCGACACAGGGCGTAAACGGAGGCACGGGTGAGGAGGGGAGCGCATGGAATGACTCAGGGAGGCCTAGGACCAGACGGTGCTGGGACATGTGACAGAGACGGGTGAGGGCGGTGTGACCTAGACAGTGGTGCCACAGAAGGGACAAGTGAGTAAGCGACCGATACGAGCACGCCGCAGCAACCTGGGAAGACACATGTACATGGGGAGGCGTCCCAATCGGGGGGGAAGTGGTGTCCCGCGTGAACAGGCCAGACACCGGGTCCCAGGGGAACGTTATGAGGTGGGCACCAGTGGCGGCCTCAGTACAAATAGCGTACCGCTCATGCCCAGGGAACGTAGTGGTGACGCCAAGGTCCTGGAGGCAGCCGACACCAACTAGGTTCCTAGAGAACGAGGGGATGTGCAGGCATGTAATGGAGCCTGAGGGAACCGCCGGACAGGGGAGAGTAGTGGAGCTACAGGCAACTACAGGATCGGAGGAAGGGTCTGCAAGAGCAACTGCAGCAGGAGCAGCAAGCGGCGTAAGCGTCGTGGAGTCGCGAAAGAAACACCGGGAAGCGCCGGATTCTAGGGTGAAGGAGAGCGCGGCAGCAGCGACAGAGGTCGGAGGAGCGAGGGAGGACCCCAGGCTAAACAAGGCATGGGATCCTACGCCTGACGCAGCAGGGGAGCCTGAACTAGGCACACTGGGGACACCTACGCTAGGCAACACACAGTAATAGGAACCAGTCACATTAGAGTTATCAATATACAGCGCATACAAAGCAGAGTTAATCTCATCCATGTCCATATCAAAGATCTGAACACGACGACGGAGCAGACTGTGCCAGTCGAGAAGGTCAGGCGACGCGCCGAAGCGGAAACGAAACAGGTCGTCTAGGTGACGAAAGCAACGAGCGGGGGTATGGCCAATCTTACCGCACACGAGGCCGCGGCGAGGACCGGTCTGGAGCTGGTACTAGCAGCGCTCGTCACTCTGACTACTACCCAACGACACGCCGCGCGAGCGACCACTGCGACCACCGTCACCTCCAGCTCCAGGCCACTCGAGCAGGAGACGGCCGACCCTCCGCTGCTGCTGCTGCTGGTCCAGATGCGGAGCCTGCTACTACTGCTGCTGGGGCTGCTGCTCCGGGGCCCCAGCCCCCTCGTCAGTACTACCAGCGGGCGAGCAACCTCCACCACCAGCACCACCCCCTCCTCCGCTACCTCCGCCACGCCCAGCCTTGGGGCGGCGACTCTTACCCGGACGAAACTGCACTACGGCGGCCGTCTCTTCAGTCGGAGCTGTCTCAGCAACCGCAACAGAACCGTCGGAGTAAGAGCATTGAGCAGGGGCACCGCCTTGAAAGATAGAGACTGGCACGGCACCGCTAGACTGGGCGATAGACCGCTGACGGGTCTCTATGGCAGACAGGGCGTCGACAAAGTCAGTGAGGGTGAGGTCAGCGGGGTGGAGACTAAGGAAGTGATCGCGGGCGGTGGCAAGGCGGTCAAAGAGGCGGGTGGCAAGCAGGTAAAGGGTAGAGCAGATGGGGGGCTGAAACACACGAAGCTGGGCCTCAGTGCAGGTAGTGCGCCAGGTCGTGTCTGGCGTGCGCAGCTGGGCGGCTTGGTCAGCGACAGTAAGGAAAGACGCAAGGTCAAGAAAGAGCATGGGCAGGATCAGGCAACCTACGGAGGCAGTGGGCGGGGTGGAATACTGCGCAACAATAGCCTCTAGGAACTCCAGCGCAGTCTTGACGGACCTAAAGCGGGGGCGCTCGGACAGGGGATGGGCATGACTAATCGCAAGCTGTGCGACAGCGTCACGCGACAACCAGACAGCACGGGCAAGGGCAGCAGCTGCACCGGACTCACGGTCAACAGAGGTGGGGTCAGCGGGGAGGGCAGCAGGGGGGTCCGGACAGGGGAGCGTACCGTCGATGTGGACGGCCAGGGAGTGGCCGTCCTGCCGCTGACCAGTCAGGTGTCGCTGGAGGTCGACGAGCCACGAGTCGAACTCAATCGGCTGCCCCTCAGCATCAAAACGCAGGACCGAGTCTGCCATTATGCAGCAGCAAGAGAAAGACAGTACTGGGCAGGAGAGCACGACGGAAAGCGGTGATGTGCGGTGCAGTGCAGTACTGTGCGGAGGAGGGAGGTGCAATACGGTAGGGTGCAGTACAGTGCGGTGCAGGGTGGTGCAGTGCGGTGCAGAGCGGTGCGGGGCGGTGCAGCGCGGTGCAGAGGGGCCTAGGATGGCGGCGATGTGTCTAGAAGACGGGGTCGGCAAAGAGGCCGGGCCGGCAGGGAGATGGGACCGACTGGGCGACGAGGCCGGCTAGGAGGCGGGGCCGGCTGGGAGGGGGGGGGGCGGCTAGGAGGTGGGGCCGCGAGGTGACAGGGCCGCGGGGCCGCGAGGGGACGGTGCCGCGGGGCCGCTAGGTGACAGGGCCGCGGGGCCGCTCTGGGACGGGGCCGTGGGGCCGCTAGGGGACGGGGCCGTGGGGCCGCTAAGTGACGGGGCCGCGGGGCCGCAAGGTGACTGGACCACGGGGCCGCTAAGTGACGGGGCCGCGGGGCCGCAAGGTGACGGGACCACGGGGCCGCTAGGGGGCGCGGGGCGGCGAGGCGGCTAGGACCTAGGACGTAAGCGCTAGGGGTGGGGGGGACCTACCTACTCATGATACCATGTTCAAGTGAAAGAATGTATAGAACAAGGTATACAAGGGAATGTAACCTAATGGGTTGTACTCCCTAAGGTACAACCCTATATAGCCTATAGAAACACACAATATATGTTTGACAGTTCGGTCACCCTGAAATACCCGGATGAATCTGGAGTGTATGTGCGGATGGTGCCATCTCAGGTTGGCACATGCCTGTATCTGGAAAGCCGAGGGGTGCATGCAAAGCTTCTCAATGGATAATCATGCTCCCATCCCAGCGACCCTACTCCGGACCGGAGTGAAGTCAGTCGTTCCACCAAGGTCAAACAAATTAGTTGAGGCGAGCACATTTGGGTCGATGCCAGGAGCTATTGTGGCTTGCAAAGAAGCCTCATCACCTCCCAGAGCATTAGCCGCACTGGGCCAAGGAGCTGGTGCTGGGTCATGAGGGCTGGTGAAGGGGTTAGGGACTCCCACAGCAAGGTATGGCGTGGCTGTAAGTGCGGCGGGGCAGCAGGCATGCGAGATGGTGAAGAGATGGTGAAGAGATCTAGGGCTCTGCAGCGGAGCAGGGCCTGGTCATCTGGAAGCATGCATGTGTGAGCCGCTGGGGGTAGAGGGCATGTAGTGTGATCCTAGGGGGTTAGAATTGGTTGCTCCAAGAGCCAGCGACGGTGCCAGTGCAAAAGCCTGTTCCAAAGCCTGTAACGGTCAGTCCCAACGCCTGTTCCAATGCCTGTGACGATGCCAGCGCCAATGCCTGTTCTAATGCCTGTGACGGTGCCAGCGCCAATGTCTGTTCCAGAGGCAGCGGCTCCGACAGTGGTTGTGGATGTGGCTCTGGCAGTGGCTGGTGGTGCGATGACATCGAGGGAATGCGTTCGAGCTCCACATGCTGATGGCCATTCAATTGCTGCTGGTGGCGCCTCTGCGGAAGACTGACTCCTTCCACACCCACTCCTTGCCCCACTGGGTGCTGATGCCTGTGCTCTTGACCACCTTTCTCCCCCGTCCCTCCCTGCTCCAGCGCCCACTCTGGCAGCGTTGGCTCAGGAAGGCAGCCTGCCAGCGGCCGTCCCTGTTGCTCACTAGCCTCACTGGCCTCTCTGGCCTCAGTGAGCAGGTAGGAGGCAGGAGTAGGCAGGCACAGGTGTGCCACGGCCGAGTCAAGAAACAGGCACGGGTTGCCTACATGCAGCCCCATGCAGGCACGGGAGGCAGCCCCATGCAGGCACGGGTAAGCCACATGCGTGTCGAGAAACAGAGGGTCGATTTCTGGCACTGTGCTGCATGCGCCCATGAAGGCCAGCATCTCCTGCCCCGCAGAATCATTCTCAATGGAGAGCGTCCCTCCCAAGCAGCTGCGAATTTCCCTGGGAACAACACCAGTTGGAGCTGCGAGTTGGGTGGGCAGTGGCGCTGGCAGTGCTGCTGCCTGTGGTGGCTGGGCGGAGAAAGGGGCTGGCAGTGGCGCTGGCAGTGCTGCAAAAGGCACGCTGACGCCAGGGTCCTCGCTGCTAAAACCCAACAGCACATCGTCAGGAAGGGCGCTCTCTGACACCACGCGAGCCCACAGCGCTGCCTGCACTTCGCTTCTCTCTCCTTCCTGCTGCAGGAAAAGATCTTCCAAGGACTGCGAGTGGTGCAGCGTGCGGCTGGCCCACCCACTCCCAGCCAGACCCGACAGGGATGGGTCCGCCAGAAGCCCGCCGTAGTCCTCCCTCGTTCGCTTCATGGGCAGCTTGCAGGCAGCGGAAGCATTGGGAAAAGCGGCATTGAATGACCCAGCACTGGAGACAAGAGCGGGATCGGGGAAAGAGGCAACACTGAAGACAGCAGCAGCAGCAGTGGGGGTGGCGGCAAGTGGGGCAGCAGTAGCAGTGGAGAGAGCAGCGGCATCGGAAGCAGCAGCAGCAGCAGCGCAGAAGGCAGTCGCAAGGCTCGCCTGGGCTGTAGGGCGGCGGGCATTAGGCGAGAGGAAGACGCTCCTGCACTCGTCAAACGACAGCCCACCGAAAGTACGAGCAGGCGATGCTGACCCGAGTGAACCCACGCCAGCCTGCTGCTCCGGATGGTGGTGCTGCTGCTGCTGCTGCTGGTGCTGCTGTCTGTGCTGCTGGTGCGAGTATTGCTGCTGCTGACCGTCACGCCTCAGCAGCAACTGGTCGTGCGCCGCCAGGGCTGTGTGCTGGGGGAAGGCACTGCCTCCCAAGTGTTCTCTCAGGAGAATTTCCTGAAAGCGTTGGACGAATTTCCTGCCACCAAGCAGAGACAGACACGGACACAGAACAGGCGTCTATTTTGCGGCACCTCAAAAGTAGACTCCTCACGGACACAGAACAGGCGCCTCAAAAGTAGACTCCTCACGGACAAAGCTCAGCCCTGCCAAAAGCCTGGAGTGATAGAAACGAACCTTCTGAGGAAGATGTAACGGTTACAGCACGACTTGTTGGTCCTCTTCAGCTGACCACTCCTCCCCAACTCGCCCCACTGCCTCGTGCCACAGTGCAGCGCATGGCGCAGCAGAACCGCGTCCTCCTGCCGTGAGCGATTGATTGTTTAGTAGGCAATGATAAGGAAAAATGTTAACTGTGGAAGCAATGGCGAGACAGCATTGAGGCCACGGAGAACAAGATTGAGAAATCAACAAAGCCTTGAGCCGCATTCAACGCGTCTTTAGGCGCATTCCACGTGTCTCGAGGCGCATTCAACGCGTCGTGAGGCCATCCCAAAATTGCAGGGTTCGGGAAGTGACTTTTCGGGGCCTCGAAAGTTAGTTCGATTCCAGTAACCGGTAGCTTACTGGACAACTTACTTTTTTCACGCGACGCAACCAGGGCCGCGGTGCGTGAACACCCGAGATTGTGGGGGCCAATCTTGCAGTTTCGGCAGGAGGCTCGGCAACGCGCCCTATTCGTGCTCTCGTGTGTTATCGCGCTTCGTGGTTCGGCCCTCGACATTCCCGGCCTTTTTTTGCACCAATGAAATTGCAATTTTCGTTTCCGTTCATTCGTCTGATTCTGACACTCGCGCTCCGTCTGCTTTAAATCTGATAGCCTCTATCGAATGTCATTGAACTCGCCGAGCTTACGATAAAACAGTATTGTATTTGTATTAGTGATTGTATTGAACACGGGAAACGAACAATAGTATCGATAATTGCGGCTACAGTTCAGTAACAATTATGCTTTCGTATATGATTTTTTTTCTAAATTGATTTATTGATGATTTCTACAAATTAGTGAGATTATTGTAAACGCGTATTGAAGCGTGCTAAAGGTAGCACGCCTAGCAGTTGGTACTACCACTTTTATTCTAGCTATCCCTTTCATGCAGTCAAACCATCGGCACTAATGTAAACTACCCTACTGGAGGAGAATCGCCAAGCCTTGAGCTCCTCGGACCACCACGGCCCTTTCGTGTTGTCGCGGATTGAGATGACGGATTGAGCCCACTTGCACATATTGTTATAGTAATGTTCGACTTGGCGGTGATTCTTGTTGGTGCTGCGAGACTTGTCTCGGTTGTCATGAAGCACCCGATGTTCAACCTGAATCCAAAAGCCAGAACTTTGTGTACTTAGGCTCACTCACAAGAAACTGGAACATGCCCCAAACAGTGTTCTTACCCCGTGCAACCAAAACGCTAGAAGCTTTGGTGGCAGGACAATTGTGCTGGAAGTTGTGGTGCTGAACGAGTCTGTCACTGCTTCGATGAACACGTCAGTTCCATAGGGGAGGTTGTGATTGCCCCTGTGCCATGTGGACATGCCAAAAGAAGCTGAGCCTGAAACAAATGGGTTTTGGTCAACATAATGGGAGGGATCAGAGATGGAGGGGGTTCTAGGCGGACAGGTTAACGTGGCTCACTAGATGCGTGCTGATCTGCCTGGGATGCCCCTTTGTCATGCCCACTGCCCTTCCCACAGCCATGCCCCACTGCCATGTGGCCCGCTTCCATCCCCAATTTTATGCCCACGGCCATGCCCACTGTCATGCCCACCCTACACACAGCCCGATGCCATGCCCATGTCCATGTGGCTGGCTGCCATACCCATTGCCATGCCGAATGACATCCCCACCGCCCTGCTCACTGCCATGCCTTTTCCCATGCCCGCTGGCCTACCCTAGAGCCATTCCTGGTGCGCTGTCCAATGCCATGCCCGCTGGGCCACCTCACACCCTTCCCCCCTGCGATGCCCACTAACCTTGCCCATAGCCATGCAAACTGCCCTATCCCTCACCCATTCCCCCAAACCACGCCCAATGTGATGCCTGCTGCTCTACCCCACGCCAATTCCCTCAGCCCTGCCCACTGCCCTTCCCACTGCACTGCCTTTCCCAAGCCCACTTCCATTCTCGCTGCACTACCCTAGAGCCATGCCTTCAGCGCTGTCCAATGCCATGTGTGCTGCCCTACCCGCAGCCATTTCCACAGGCCTGCCCAATGCCATGCCCGCTGCTCTACCCCACACCCTCTCCCACTGCCATGCCCAATCCCATGCCTGCTGCTCTACCCCACACGCACTCCCACTTCCATGCCCACTGTCATGCCCGCTGCTCTAACCCACACCCACTCCCACTGCCATGCCCAATGCCATGCCCATGGCTGCTGTACCCCATACCCATTCCCACTGCAGTGCCCGCTGCCCTACCCCACACCCACTCCCAATGTCATGCCCGCTGCTCTAACCCACACCCACTCCCACTGCCATGCCCAATGCCATGCCTGCTGCTCTACCCTCCACCCTCTCCCACTACCATGCCCAATGCCATGCCTGCTGCTCTACCCTCCACCCTCTCCCACTGCCATGCCCAATGCCATGCATGCTGCTGCTGTACCCCATACCCATTCCCACTGCCATACCCACTGCCCTGCCCGCTAGCATGCCTTTTTCCCAAGCCCAATGCCATGCCCGCTCCCCTACCCTAGGGCCATGCCGAATGCTGCGCCCGCTGCCCTACTCCACAGCCATGCCCACTGCCCTGCCCCACAACCATGCACACTGCCATGCTTGCTGTCATGTCCATCGCCCTACCCCACAGCCATGTCCACCTCCCTACCCCACAACCATGCGCACTCCCCTTTCCCACAGCCATGCGCACTGCCATGCCCACTGCCATACCCGCTACCATGAACGCGGCATAAAGAATACAAGGGAGTACATGGGAAAAAGAGGTCAAAGGACTTGATATGGTAAGAGTAGCGCTAAGGAACGACCTCACCTCGTCAGCGACAACTCACTCGCGCCGTAGTCCTCCTTGAATGCGGTGGGTGTTAAGGTGCCCCTCTCCTCCCGTCCTGATATGGGCCGGGCCACCCGGAGGTCAAGCGCCTCGTACACCCGAGCCCGGCCCTTCGTCAGGACTTTGTTCCGCCATTCAGCGAGGCTCCCACGGATGTTGTTGCGCCGCCGATCATCGAAGGCGTACACCAGCGCCAGATCTGACCGCTGCTGCTCGTCCGTCCATCGTAAAGCCCGGAATATGGCATCCAGAATCTTCGTTTTTGCTGGCCAGAGTGTGTAGTCGCCGTTGGCTGTTTTAAAGAACAGGATCTTAATGACCTCAGAGACGAGGTCCTACACACGACCCACGGGCAAGCCAAGGCAAGGGTTACGGGACGGTAGGCAAGGTCAAGCACGCATATTGGCACGATGTGCGTACGTTTATAGAAGATGAACGAGGGCAGCGTGGCGACAGTGCCCTTCCAAACAACGCATTTAAACATGCATACGCCACAACTGGCGTGTGCATGCGGCAACGTAAAGAAGCAAGGTGATAGCATAGTACGTCCAAATGAGCACAAGCTCTAGGAAACAAAAAACGGGGTCCTCACCTTAAGCTCTTCCCCCTCTTCAGGGACAGTGTCGAAAGCATGGATGATTCGCAACGCCATAGCCCGCTGGTTTGCCGACATGCCATTGGTGTCGATGCTCCGTCGGTATGCGTACTCCTTAGCAACCTCTCGTTGAAAAGAGCCCGCCGAGCGGGGCCAGACCACGCGACGACTTGGTGAATATATCACTTCCCCAGCCCCTGCCTGGCCCATGATCTCTGGCCCGGGTACACGCGGGCCACTACTGCCAGATATCGCCAGGCCATGAGCTGCAGTAGGCACTTGGGAACTGCCACGCTGAGCAAGCTGTGTTTGCAGCTCCAAGATCCTTCTCAAAAGCTCTCGGTTTTTCTGTTGCTCAGCTTCAAAAACAGCACGCGACACCATGTCTGTAACTGTGTGCCGTGCGCGAGAACTGACTGCATGCTGAGCACGGGGAGATGCGAGGGGCTGAGATGATGTAAGGGGGCGTGAGTGGGCGGATGGGGGGAGGGAGGATGGCTGCTGGGACGAGCTGGGCAGATGGGAAGAGGATGGCTGGGAGGCCGGGCCGGCCAGGGGTGCCCCGGTGGGTGGCCGAGAGGTATGGTGCTGCTGGGAGGACCTAGGGATAGGTGAAGAAGCGAGGAGCTCAGAGGAGCCTTGCCTTGGGCCAGCAGCTGGCAAATGGGAGGGGAAACCACGCTCAGCAGAGCTGACCAGTGGAGAAGTGAAGAGAGGAACGGAAGCGGATGGCCCACGGGTTGCGGCTGGAAAAGAGGAAGCCACATGCTGCTGGGAGGAGGGCACAAGGTGGGGAATATGATCCGGGGTGGGCGAGACTTGCTGGCTATTTGCAGCGTGGGCGTCAGTGTCAATCGCCGTGGTTTCGGGGCCGTCAACGAAGTCAGTGGCGTTCCACTCATCATCGGAGTTATCGATGAATGAGTCGTCCTCCTGTAAAGACTCTTCATCATCTGTGTCATCGGGTTCGCCTCCCATGGCCTCCTCGGGAACCATTGTATCCGCAGCAGCAGTGTGGTTATGAGGGTTCAGCAACCCAGGCGGATCCTGGTGCATGGAGCAAGGGGGAGGCAGAGAAGGTGATACGGCATGTTGGTGTCCCACCTCGCCAACCCCAGCCGTGGCCATGCCGAGTACATGGGCATTGGGCTGCTGTGGGGCGTAGAGGTGGTGGTTGTAGTGAGGGGGGAGGGTCTGGAACGTGCCAAGAGGTTGGGTGTGGTCAGACTGCATGATATGGTGCTGAAGCTGGCTCATGCCTTGTGCGGGAGACGCTGCCAGAGGTGGCGCTGAAGCAGCCTGGCTGGCAGGTGGACGTGGGACGAACAGCAGATGACGTGGCAGCAATAGGAGGGATGCGTTTGGTGATGCTTGCGGGCCAGCAAAGGGTGCACCGAAGGGAGCAGCAAAGGCTGCTTGGGCGGCTGCATTTGAAGCGGTGGCAGCAGCAGCAGCGGAGACGGCATAGACGGGCGCAGCAGGAGCGGCGCCGGGAGCAGCGAAGGCAGCATTGGCGGGCATAGTAGCAGCAGTGCCAGCAGCAGCAGCGGAGGCGTCGTAGGCAGGCGCAGTAGACGCGGTGCAAGCAGCGGCAGGGGATGCAGCATAGGCAGGCAGTGTATGAGCAGTGCCCACAGCAGCAGCGGTGGCAGCAAAGGTGGGCGCGGTAGAAGCAGTGACAGCACCAGCAGCGTAAGCAGCATAGGAGGGGGCAGTAGAAGCAGTGCCAGCAGCAGCAGCGGTGGCGGCATAGACGGGCGCAGTAG